GATTTTTGTTTTCCAGCGCGCTGAGAGCAGCCTCTCTTCCATTTACTTGATTCGCAGGTTTGTTGTATCTCTTTGGAGGCTTTTTTCCTCCCCTTTTTTTGCTGTCCGGCTCTCTCCACCCCCGAATTTTATCTAGTTGTAGCAACTTGCCGCCTCTTTTTTTTTTTTTTTTTCCCCCTTATTATTACTGGTATTTTTTCACTGGCGCCTTCTGTACATTTTCCGATTGCGAGCCGCCCTCGGAGCCCGGTTTTTAACAGCATTTTGTCTGCAGATCTCCCCTTTGTTTGCACAGATCCCCTTTTTATTTTTTGATTTTTTTTCCTTGTTGTCGTTCGTTGTTAAAGTCACTTTTTTTTTTTTTTTTTTTTTTTTGGTGGGGGGGGCGCTGTATTTAAACACTTAAAATGCACTGCTATCTGCTGAGCGTGCTCCTCACAGTGGATCTGGCCACCGTGGCTCTCAGCCTGTCTACCTGCAGCACCCTCGACATGGATCAGTTTATGCGCAAGAGGATCGAGGCTATCCGGGGGCAAATCTTGAGCAAACTGAAGCTCACCAGCCCCCCCGACGAGTACCCCGAGCCCGAGGAGGTGCCCCCGGAGGTCATCTCCATCTACAACAGCACCAGGGACCTGCTGCAGGAGAAAGCCAACCACAGAGCTGCCACTTGCGAGAGGGAGAGGAGCGATGAGGAATACTATGCCAAAGAAGTTTACAAAATAGACATGCAGCCTGGTTACCCCGAAAGTAAGTCCTCTCTGTTTGTGCATGTGTGCGTAATTTTGCCCCCGAGGCTTAGCGGTGCCCAGCACCTTTAAATAGCAGCCCCAAGCATCGTAACCTGCCTTCTTCGCTCGGCTTCCTCTCATCCTTAGCATCCCTTAAGTGGAGGCTTCTGGGGTTTAATTCAGGCGGTGGGATATACATATGCCTGAGTGGATGTGTTGGGGGTGGTCACCTGTTCCCCCGGACTCGTGAGGTTTCCAGTCCCCTTTGAAATCAGCCAGGAATCCCTCAAAGTGCCTTTGCTCTCCACCACCACGTATCTGAACAGAGCTCCCCCCGCCCAGGGTCCCACTCTCCCCAGCACCGGGTTTAGCTCCCCGGTAGCCCCGTATACAGCCTCCAGGAAGAGCCAATATCTTTCCACTGCTCTTGTTTCCCTTGGAGTGTCTGGAGCGGGCAGGTTTCCATCTCTCCATAACCGAAAAGAAAAGGAGGTCTTAAAAAAAAAAGTCTCCGGCTCGTCTTGCCTGTGTCCCTCCAGAACAGTGTCCCGCAGACTGCTGTTCAGATTGGTGCTCAGAGAGGGCAGAGGCATAGGCGTCCTCCCTCCTTTTCCCACTTTAGCCACCCCTTTCGGTTCATGGGCACTTTTCATTTCAGGTACAGAAAAACTTTTCCCTTCTGAGTAACCTCAGTTCTTGGAACCTGCCTCAGCCCGTCTGCCTTTTGCTGTTTTTAACGACCTTCTGGTGATCCATGCCACGTTTTGCACAAAAAAAGAGAGAGGATACAAATTCTCTGTGCTGACCAAATCCACTTAGAATGATTAATAATCATAACGACGTGCCTTTTTGTTTTGATAGTGAAGCTTAAGTGCATAGAAAAAAAAAAAAAAAGGAAAGCAAAAGCACCGCACTGCCTTAAAGGAATCTAGATCATCATCATACCGAGGAAAGTGGAATACCAGAAGCAGAAAATAACTTCACCGTTCACGTATCTGAACCCTAGTCCCTTGTCTTTTCATTCAGCTCGCCTTTCTACTTCTTCCCTCCCCCACCACTTGATGCCCTATATACTTGCTGTCTCTTTCTGAAAAGCACATAGGTTTTGCTTAAATAGATAATGCAGCCATCTTGGTAACTGTATCCTAGAGTTTCTAATTGCATTTTCCCCTTATTTATTTTTAGTTTAGCTTTGGGGCTTGCTCTGTCTTGCATATGATAGTCCTAGGATGCCAGCCAAGGTATCTGAACCCCACGCTTTGTGCAGCTGCCTCCCTTTCTTCCTTTAGTCTTAAATGACAACATCAGGTACAGGACATCCTGGCACTCAGAACCATTTTATTATTGTAATTATGGCACCATCCTTAATAGCCATGATAAATACACTCCGCCCTTGTTACCCCTGGGGAAGAAATACTTTCTTTTCTTTGAAAAAATGTGTATTTGAAGCCAAGTGGGTATGAGCAGAGAGGTTCAGTATAATTCATAGCTGTAGCAAAAACACAGTAGCGTCTGTTTTCCACGTTGATGTACTGTACTATTTTGCTGGTGGTTTTGGTAGAAGTCAGCACTTCATTTTGAGACCTGTCAGATCATACCCAGGGCAGAGGAGCACCTATGGGCAAAGGTTAGGAAGACCAGTACCAGTGCCATGGCTTGTGCAGTTGACCCAGTAACAGGGAGTCTCTTAGAATTGTGAAATGCATCCATCCTGAGCACATCTGTCCTTTCTTCTTGCTTGAACAAACTACAAAGAACCTAAGAGCTGCATACTTTCCAGAAATTTAAAATATCTGTGGTGTGTGACTTGGATGGTCTTGACAAAAGAGGATCTATTTTTAAAACATCGTCAGAGGCCAGATTTCTTCTGAAGTATCAATATAGGCTTTGGAAGAGCAAAGGAGATTGCAGGTATCTACCAACAGAGTGCATCAGATGTTTGGGATCGGAGGGTCGGTTAAGCAGTAGATCCGGCACTACTGTGCAAGGGCTGTCGCTAACATCAGAGTAAGTAGGTTAACTGTTTTTCCACTGCTCTCTAGTTATGCTGGATGGAGTGAACCTTTCCAAAAAAGACAAGTAAGGAAGGAATTGCTCCACCATATTTTAAAGGAAGAAATTGAAAGCGCAGCTCTGGCGGCCACAGGCACTTTCTCCTAGGCGTCTCGGAGTGAATTTTTTAACTCTATGGTTTCTGCTGTGTTGGAGGGAGGCAGGAGAGAGAAGGGGATCAGTGTGAATGCACTGAAGGTCAAAAGCTGCTGGAACGCAGGCATGGGAAAGATCAGTGGTTCAGTTTTTACCACAAGTTGTTAGCGTTCAGTAACTGACTACAACCCAAGTATTACAAATATGCTCTAATTATACTCATAGTCAGCAATATATCACTACAGATCGCTGATAGGTCTTTGTGGGGCATTTTGTAAAGTTCAGACTAAATATTTTTAGCAATGAGGAGATTTAAAAGGAAAGCTATAAGAGATATTGTATATACCCCAAGGCATATTTTGTCTTAAATATTATCCTTGGCCAACTGTACTGTATAAATACAGTAAATATGAATAGAACTGGCAAGATGCCAATCTCCTGGGATGAATTTTAGTCAAGAAGGTATTTATGGGATATAAATAATACTGTGTCAACATTTAAAGAAGGGATCTGATTAGTTTTGAAATTATTCATATTAATCTTTTCACATGCTGTTAGTTTAAGGCTCAAACTAAACTTATGCTAAGGTTTACTGATACTTTGCACTGAGGAAGTAAGGGGACATCTGGTTTGACAGTCCACATGAGGTTAAGGACACATCGGAATATACCTGGAAATTCAGCGAGTCAGAGACTGCCAGACTCATAAGCAACAGATGGGAAAGAAGTGGCAGAAAAAAATACTACAAAGACATTTGGAAAAAACCAGAAAGCTTTTGTCTGAAAAGCATTCCTGCCTGCCTTGTGCTCACAACAGTATGCACTGGATACTGAAACACTGGATCACTTTTAAGTCCAGTTAGCAGTCAGAATTTGAGTTTTCTTACAGAGCAGTTTACAAAGGAAGGTGGAATATGAGCACAATATGAAAGAGTTCTTGGGAATTTTGTGCCCAGGAGAAGTTACCTGAGTAAATGCTTAAAACTGATTTCTGTGAAAACTGGATAACATTACAAGTTTATTACTTATCAGTTTGTAATTGAATTTCTAGGCCCTGATACTTAAGCTAGGTGGTGATTGTCATTGCACTGATAATAAACAGAAATTTAATGCCAACACAATTAAGGATTGTGAATTGTAATGCTAATGTATAACTGGGATACTTGAGACAAACAGACAACACACACATGTATGTGGATGCAGGGGCCCATTCTATCATCTTCACTCAAAGCAGTTTTTGCCACAGTCAGTGAGCTGGTTGGTACTGATGGCTTAAGGCCAATGCAGGTAAATTTTTTAATTTCTGCTTTCTTGAAGAGGGATTTGTAAATAGTAACCGTAGAAATCCCAGTTCTTCTGGTTTTGGGACTGATTTTGCATGGATTTTAGGCTACCCATGCCATATTTTAGTGTGAAGGAGCCTCCATGGGTTCCAGCCTGCACTTGGTGTTAGGATTAGTCTTCTTAGGAGCCCTATATATTGCTTTACACAGGCCATCGTTCTGTGGAAGATTTGCCTCATAAAAGACAACATTATAAGCTGGCAGAGCATAATGACATGCTTCTACTTTATCAACAGGGACTCACTTTACTGGCAATTACATGTATGTGGGTTACTTGTCTTCAGGGTACCAGAACTGCTTGTGCAGACGTAGCTGCCGGCACTGACCGCATCATTACCACGATGTTAACAGCTATGACTGCACAGCTCACCTATGTTTGCATTTAACGTAACACAGAGATTAATCTTTCTAGCTATGCTGGACCTATGGTTGTGCTCTGGAGTACCTCTTGTAGGAGGCATTTGCCAGGCATGCTCTTTTACCTGCAGCAGTGTGAAGCACAGTGTGAAGGCTTTCCTGAGGAGAGACATGGGAGGAGCAGTTCCTTATTCCTTTTTCATGAATGGCACTTACTGCAGTCTTCCTAGGTGGTGATGAAAAAAACTCAGGAAATTGCAAATGGCTTTAAAAAGGGACAGGGTAATTTTCTAGACAGCAGTCCTCTACATACTAGGAGGGATAATAAAATAACATGCTCTGGTGCACTAATGAAGGGGAGCTCCACATGTGTTTCCCGCCAGGCTTCTGAATCACCATCCACTTGCTGTAAGCAGGGTGCCAAGCTGGGAAGCACGGGGTGGTCCAAGAGCCGTTCTGGCATGGTACATGGTCCATGAGTTTCTTCCAGAGGATGATGCCTACAGAAAAGCTAAATACCCATGACCTCTGTCTTTAACACTGCAAGGTCAGATGAACTGCAAGACAGAAATATAGGGCTGTATTCCCAAGTCCTTTCTGAAACCTTCCTTAAGTTTATTTCTGGTGTCTGTTTTAAAGAGGCATTTTTCACTGTAATTTGGTGAGTGAGAAGGTCAGATAGAATCATGGACTCATTTAGGTTGGAAGAGATCTTTAACTTTGTCTGAGTACAACCCTTAACCTAGCACTGTGAAATCCACCACTAAACCATGTCCCTAAATGCCACGTCTGTACTTTTAAATACCTCCAGAAGTGGTGACTCGACCACTTCCCTGAGCAGCCTATTCCAGTGCATGAAAACCATTTCTGTGAATATGCAGCACTGCCCCTGATGCTCTCCACCCTCCAGCCCACTGACATTGTGAATGTTTTATTGTCCCAGAGACCTTTCTGAAAATGTACCCTTTTCTTCTCCTTATGGCTGGAGATGTGCAGGAAGTGCCCAGAGTGCTGCTCTTGCTGGCTCCACTTGCAGGATTGGGTGTGAATAGGTGAGTGAAGAAAGCAGAGCATCATCTTCATTAGCTACTGGTTTTAGCCTGGCTCATCCTCCATGCTCTGCGTGAGCAGAATAGTGGCCATCAGAATGGCGGTGCTACTTTGCAGTTACT